AAATACATTTCAAAAATGATAAAACTTTTTGCATGTATCTTGTTTAATTAATTTAATTAACAATAATAATTTAGCCATTGCTTTTTTTCTTCATTTTTGGACACCAGAAGGAGTTTCATTGCCATGTTTCTAACCAATTTGTAATACATCTTTCTAACAGAGAAGCTCAACCCTGCTCCAGAAATGAAAGTAGTGCTTGTTGGTGTCAAGAAAACAGCCAAGAATTCGGGTGAAAACACCACCTTGAACAGAGAATGCTTCAGCACAGACAACCAAACTACTTCCTGCACAGATAACCAAGTAAAATCAGTGGTAAGATGGTTACTGTGCTGGATACACCTGGCTGCTTCTCTGTGGCCTCGGGCTTCCTGATGACATCCTAAGTTATCATCCTGGTTGTCAGTGTGAGTGCCTCATTTAAAGATAGCCACTGGGAAGTCATGGAGAAACAGCTGGAACCAGGGGGAAGTCTGCTGTGGACCTGTGGTGCTGTTGAGCTACGGTGATTGGTTGGGCAACACGAGCATTGAGCAGCACACTGACAGTGAAGGAGAGCTGCTGCAGAGGCTTGTTGAGAAGTGTGGGATCAGATGTCATGTCCTGGACAATAAGCACTGGGAGGGATGGAGCTCAGGTTACTGAGCTAATCGAACTGGTTGAAGATGGGATGCTGGTTGAAGAAAGGCTGGCTGCTGTCCACAGAGGTGATCACGTGTGGAAAAGGGCTTCTTCGGCATGATAGCGTCAGCTGCACACACAGCATAAGAAGGATTTCAAGGAGCTTGTGAGCCGCAGACGTCAGCTGTCCTTACACTGGAAGTAAGCTGATATTTGTTCCCAACATGTTTTGTCACTTACATTTCATCCAGTCCATTCTGGACTGTAGTTTGTAATGAACACTTCATTCAGAGCAGTGGTTCTCAGCATATGGCTTTGGACCCCCAGGGTGTTGCAAGATAAATATGAGGGGTTACAAGACAATTAACAGGTAGAAATGAGAAAAATTCATGAAAATGTATATATATAATTTTTAAAAAGACATTTCCTCAATTTTGCAAATCTAGTAGTTTTTTTGAATTATGACAATCTTAGTTCCTTGGCCTTAAAACAGTCATTATTGGCTAACTTGTTTGACTTAGTTTACAGACATATGCAACCAATAACGATGATTCACAAGTAGACAGGTTTTGTTATTATTATTATTCATTTTAAAGGTGCAGTGTGTGAGACATCTAGCAGCGAGGTTGCAGATTACAACATTCAGCAAAGCTTTCATACATTGTGTTAAACAGCCTTTAGTCTTGTCACAGCAATTACCGTAAATGTAGGACAAATTGTGCACTGGGAAAACAAGTGCAGCTGACTTGACCAAGCAAAAGCTAACAGTAGCTCACTTGACTGCAGTGTACTTTTCAAGATGGCCATATACACACATGTGTAATGTAAGATGTGTAATAATACCATTTTATTTGTTTGGCCTATTAATAAACACTCAGCCAGACTTTAAACATCTATCTTGGCTGATCCAAGCACACTTAGTGAAACTGCATGACAAAAAGCGCAACAAAAATTGAACGGTAGTTGGCTTGACTGGTTTTTTACAGCTG